AGAGTGAGACTCTGTCTCAAAAAAAAAGAAAAGCCAAGAAGAATCTAGACAGGTCTTGCTAGGTTTCCCCACTCAGTCTATTGGCATTAGATCGTACCATTTTAGCCAATTATATTTTTACACAGCTGTCCATACTTTGTTAAACCTAAGCATAAAAATGAACAATCTCCCCTGTATCTTTGAGGTCTTCATTATGAAAAATACAACATGATTAAAAACAAATATTTATTGAGCACTTACACGTGCTTGGTACAATATAAGCACTGTACCTTTAGTAGCTCATTTAACCTTAATAGGCTAGGTACTTGTATTGTTCCTGTTACATGCATGAACAATCTGAGGCACAGAGCGTTTGAGTAAGTTGCCCAAAGTCACACAGTTAAGAGTGATGGAGATGAGATGTTAGCCTAGCCGAGTTCTAAACCACTTTTAACTATTAATACCAAAGCTGGACATTTACTTTTACCTTTTGTATGTGCAATTCAAGTTTCCCCGCCCTAGCTTATAAAGTTCTAGGTGACTAGAGAGCTTCCATGATATTGTCTGACATGTTGCTATTCTGAACTCAGGGCTGTTGAAAGCAGCTGACACACTTTTGTTAGTGATTCCAAGGCCAGAGTTGGGGTAGAGTGAAGAGTTGGCCCAGTGTGTAGAACTCCATCCCCCCTCAACTGGCAGGATGCAGGCAGTGATTCAGTGGGTTAGGCTGGCCTCCCTGCCCATGGTTCAAAATAGTAATTATGATGTAATGTTTGTTTAATGTTTGAAAAAAATACTCTGGTGATTTATGGACTTAAAAATTATGTCAATGTACCCCGAGGATGATGGTGAAAGGTGCAATTTTGACATCAAAACAAGCCGGTTCATCGAATATTTAATTAAAGGATTAGATGAAAAAAGCAGATACAAAGTTGCTCTGATGGAAATGTGGCCTAACCCTCAACCAGAGGTCTTAGAAAGTGGCAGAGGCTAGTGTCATCTTTGAAAACAAAATATGGTTACAGACGGGTTCTAGAAAGAATGCAAATTTATTGCCCACATAATATCAGGGCTGGTTTCTTTAAAAAAGTGGTTACTTATTAAAATACAAGATGATTTATTTTCAGGATTCTCAAAGGCACATAGACTCCCTTTCTAACGTAAACTAGTAGAGGAAAAATTAGAGGACTTCGTGTTCCTCTCTTGCTAAGAAAGGGTGTTTATTAGCTAGGATGGCAATGAAAAATTTAATACAATGTAGTTTATAGCAAGGGACTGTGTCATTGGTCTTTCATCTGGATATGTAGCTCTGGCTCCTCTCATGGATAAGCTAAATAAAGACTTATTAGATTCTATTTCAAGTTTATTATTTATCTATCACGATGCCACATTTAAAAAATCATGATAACTGTATCTCTACACAACTGGAGTTAAATCGGTTGATTTAAAGATTTCCTTCTTTGCTAACTGTGCTAAATTAAGTCTTAACTGAAATTAGGAATGTGCTAATTTAACAATTTACACTGCAGGCCTGCTTCCTGGCAATGTGCCCTTAACTCAAGAAAAGAAAGAAGGAAAGCTACTTCATGAAGAGAAATCAAACCTCACCCCTACTTGTCTCTTTTCTTTTTGGTTTATTCTGAGTAATTGTCCTGAGGAAACAAACCCACCAATCGCTGTCAAGTTTGATTCCTCTTTCTGCAGTTACAGCCTTCCTGCTCCTCCATGATGGCTCAGCTGATGTTTCACTTTTGCTAGCCATTTTCAAAATATTTTGAGTCTTAGGACCAGGAGGGTTACTGAGGTCTTTTTCCCTTCTTGTCACCTTTTTCTTTCTTCTTCTTCTTCTTTTTTTTTTTTTTTTTGGTGGCATGTGGCGCCAAACCAAGAGGGAGATAGCAGGTCTAGGCCATCCCTGTTCTGACCCTCTGGGGCCATCTTCCTTCTGGCAATTTTCTCTCCCCATCTGTTTTCCACTTGTTTTTGTTTTTTAAAAAAGAATTAAAAACAAGCAAAGAAAGAAAAGAAACAAAAGCAAAAGATAAACATCTCTGGAGCAAGGTCAGCATTGTAGAATTACAGTAAACAATTATAGGAGTGCGTTGATTCATGTGTGGGTACATGTTTACGTGCAGGTCTCAAATTATGGAAGAAACTCAATGTATTGAGATGGTGGCATGAGAAGCTCCTCTTTAATTTTTAAATTATAAAAAAGTTTACTTCTTCAGTTGGCAAACAAGGAATTCTGTTCTGGTTGTATTTGATCAATAATTTTGCCACTTCTCACACATTGCAGTAAATGGTCACAGATCTTTTGCTTTGTTCCAGGTGCCGAGGAGGGTGCTCTGGAGGGCTGCTGAGAAGCGGGCCTTCCTGGCAAGGCTGCCAGGCTCTCTGTCAGCCTGGAAAGCTCTTCCCATCTCAGGACAGCACCTGGGCCCGGGAAATGGTTTTGTCCTTTTAGGGAGGTGCTTCTGTAGCTTTCTCAGGCCTTCAGCTCTAGTTTGTCCAGCTGGGTTGACTTAAGTGCTCTTTCCAGGTTGATCTTCCCCTGGATTCCAATGAGCAAAATCAGAGGAGCTGGGGAGATCTATGCAGTGTATTTTCAAACATTTCCACCTTTATGATCCAATACGGTTATGCAGAACATCAAGTTTTTTTAAAAAATTTTTCATTGAGGTGTAATTTACACAGTGAAAATCGGCACAGATTTTAAGTGGCATTTATAAGTTTCGACAAATGTACATACACATCAGTATATTTTTATTTCATTACCCCAAAAGTTTCTCTCAATCCCTTTCCCAGTCAATACCTCCTTATTCCCAAGGGTACTTTTCCTAACCCCACAGCTTAGTCTTGCCTGTTCTATAATTCCCTGTAAATGGGATCACACAGTATGAATTCTTTTGTGTTTGTCTTCTTTCTCCCAACGTGATGTTTTTGAGAGTCATCAGGTTGTTGCCTGCAACAGTTTAAACAGGACCGAAGATATCACTAACAGCAAGAGTAATGGGGACAATTGTTCCCCCTGTTGACCTCAAGGCCAGCTACTCCCTAAATTCTGGTAAGTGGCCCTTTCTGCCCTTCCAAGCCAGTCTCTTTCCAGGGCCAAGCAAGTTCCCCTCGCAGAACCGCCCAGGCAGCCTCGGGAACCACCCAGATGGCCGCGGGGCCGTCACCAGGTCGCCTCCCTAGAACGCCTGCCCCCTTCCTCCCCCTAACCCCATTAAAACTCAGAAGGGAACTGGCCCCTCTGCCGATCTGAATTCAGATTCGTTCAATTCCACGCATCCAATTGCACACAACTGTGTGATGTTTTGGTGGTGATCACAGAGTCCTTAAGAAAACGTCAAAAGAAAAAAAAAAAAGGAAAGGTGGGGGAAAACCCAGATCTCCCGGGCAGTGGATATCAGCCTCCGTTGAGCCAGGGATACAGAATGAAATCTTTTCTTTTCTTTTTTAAATAAACGGAAGAGTCGCTCTCCGCTCCTCGCTCAGAAGGTTTCAAAGGTCGTCACACTGAGGCCCGGGGGCGTTCATCTCCCCAGCGGCCGGGAGAAGGGAGGAGGTCGGAGGGAGGAGGGAGGGAGCACACAAAAGCAGGCCGTGCTGAGAGGGCTAATGTTTCCTGTTTGCCTGCAGCCCCCTCCCCTGCCTCCCCTCCCCCAGCCCCCTCCCCGCACTCGGGCGGAAGTGAGTTTGCTCCTTTGGAGATTAAAAGGATTCCGAATTCCGATCAGTCCCAATAACCAGCGTACTGAGGAGAAGAGGAGGAGGAAGAGGAGGAAGAGGCGGCAAAACAGAGAAAGAGGGGGCGCGCGCGCGCGCACGCATCCCGAACTGGGGGAGTTGTGCAAAGCCCCAGGAGGCCAGGGCACGGCGGGAGCAAAGCCCGGTAGGCGCAGCGTGGCCGGGGCCACCCGCGTCCCGCTCGGCGACTCGTTTCAGAGAGAAGATGACGCGGGCGCGAGCCGGCTGCGTTGGCCACGCGGCTCCCGAGCTCGCCGCGCGGGGCCGTTGCCGGTTCCACTGATTCCAGCGCGCCCGGGAGGAGGCTCCATCCCCGAGGCTCGGGATCGGAGGGGGGACCAAGGCGAGGGTGAAATGGCCCGATGACAAAGGAAATGTGATCCCCTTCGCTGCCAAGGTTTCAGAGAGGACGGACGTGAGGAGGAGGAGGGGCGCAGGGCGCGCGCGGAGCTCGGATAGCATTGCACGACGGCCCGCGCGGAGCGGGTACATCTAATATCTTCCTGCCGATGAATAATTCAGGGCGGCCCGCGGGGACCTGCGGCCCCGCGCTACAGCGCGGCTAAGCCGGACGGGAAGGAGCGTGCGGGAGGCGCCGAGGCCCAGCAAGGAGGGGGCACGAGGGCCCCGGGCCGCGTGGGGCGCGCGTGCGTGTTAAGCGCGGGCAGCCGCGGCCCGGCTGGGCGGGCGCGCGGGAGACTCGAGGCGCGTGAGACGCGCGTGCGTACTGCACGCGTGCGGCCGCGGCTGGGCCACCACGAGCTGCAGCTGCTGCAGGGCCGACCGCCCTGCAGGGGAGGCCGCGCCTGGCCGCGCGCAAGCCCCAAGCACAGCACGCCGGGCCACCCAGGAGCCCCTGGCCGCCGCGTCATGCGGCGGGGCGGCCGGCGTCGCGCGGGGGGACACTGGCTTGGCGACGCGCCGCTCCCGCCTTTACTACTTTGGGGCACCTTCGCCTCCCAAGAAGAGATTAAATCCATTTAAAGAAAAGAACGCACCAAATAATCGTCGAACCAAATTCTGCTCTCGCCTGGACTGGGATTGCACAGCGGACTCTCCTTTTGGGGACTCCTTGGCTATCGCGAAGCGAAGCCCCAGCTGCTCCAGGGAGTCTTCTGACCTCCCTGCCCTCGTTCGCCCCTCGCGAGTCTGGGCTTGTTCCGGCGTTCCCTCTTCGGAAGGCACGCGGGCCCCCAAGTCCTCCGGGAGGAATCTGTGTAGCCGCTGGATAGTGGCATTTAATGCCTGCAGTGTCAGGGGTGGCAGCGCTCGAGCCGGACGTGGCGAGGCCAGGCGGGCAGCGCTGCTCTAGTGCCGGCTCCCGGATTGCAGGCCTAATCGATGCATTTTTCTGAGTGAGTCGGCTCCCCCACCCACCTCGTCCGCTCTATCCTCCTCCTCCTCCTCTTCCTCTCTGGTCTCCTCCCTCCTCCGGGCTGGGTTGCAAATGGCTTCGTTCCCCGAGACCGACTTCCAGATCTGCCTGCTGTGCAAGGAGATGTGCGGCTCGCCGGCGCCGCTTTCCTCCAACTCGTCCGCGTCGTCGTCCTCCTCGCAGACGTCCACGTCGTCGGGGGGCGGCGGCGGGGCCCCTGGGGCGGCGGCGCGCCGCCTGCACGTCCTGCCCTGCCTGCACGCCTTCTGCCGCCCCTGTCTCGAAGCGCACCGGCTGCCGGCCGCCAGTGGCGGCGCGCCGGGAGAGTCGCTCAAGCTGCGCTGCCCGGTGTGCGACCAGAAAGTAGTACTAGCTGAGGCGGCGGGCATGGACGCGCTGCCTTCGTCCGCCTTCCTGCTCAGCAACCTGCTTGACGCCGTGGTGGCCACCGCCGACGAGCCGCCGCCCAAGAACGGGCGCGCCGGCGCTCCGGCAGGCGCGGGCGGCCACAGCAACCACCGGCACCACGCTCACCACGCGCACCCGCGCGCGTCCGCCTCCGCGCCGCCGCTGCCTCAGGCGCCGCAGCCGCCCGCGCCTTCTCGCTCGGCACCCGGCGGCCCCGCCGCCTCCCCGTCTGCGCTGCTGCTGCGCCGGCCTCACGGCTGCAGCTCGTGCGATGAGGGCAACGCGGCCTCTTCGCGCTGCCTCGACTGCCAGGAGCACCTGTGCGACAACTGCGTCCGCGCGCACCAGCGCGTGCGCCTCACCAAGGACCACTACATCGAGCGCGGCCCGCCGGGTCCCGCCGCCGCGGCAGCGGCGCAGCAGCTCGGGCTCGGGCCGCCTTTCCCCGGCCCGCCCTTCTCCATCCTCTCGGTGTTTCCCGAGCGCCTCGGCTTCTGCCAGCACCACGACGACGAGGTGAGTGCGTGGGGTTGGGGGCGTGTGTTCGTGTCCGCCGGATAACCGCGTGTGTGTTCGAGAAGGGCCTCTCAACCGGTCCCAAAGTAAGGAGAGGGGCCTTCTCCTTTTCGGACTTTCTTTGTATGTCCTTTGGCTACGTGGCAGTCGTTGCTACCAAGTAGATCATGACCCGGGAAGTGTGTGGAAGTAGACGTCGTGGTTTCTGTGTGCGTGCCGCGAGGGGCCCCCGAAAATTCCCACTGTGTGGGGTCCGTCCTTTTCTGTATTTCACTGTTGCGCAGCGTGGCAAACCGCGGCAACCGTTGTCTCCAATTAGGCATGAACTGGGAAGAAATAGGTGTGTTTGTGTAGACGTGGCCTCCTTGTGCGGGCACGCCGGAGGCCTCCCAGCGCGCTGAGAGGGCGCTCCTTTATTTTCTCATTTTTATTTGTAAATTTCGTAGATTGTTGCTTTTAAATGGGGCATGAGCCGTAAAGAGATGATTTTGTTGGTTGGTGGGCGTTTGGACTGTGTGTGCCTGTGTAGACTTGGTTTCCACGTATGCAGTTGTGAGGGAAAGACTGATTTTTTTGTTGTTGTTTGGACAGCGTGGCAGTCATTGCCTCGCTGTGTGTGGGGCAAGAGAGTGGGCGTCTGCGGTCTGTGAGGGCCAAGTGGCCCCCGGTCTTAAGCCTTTGCTCCGCGGCTGTTTCCCGTACTGTGTAAAAAGCGTGTTCCGGTCCCTGAGCTCTCTTATGTAGAATCTCCGCTCGGATTTGTGGGCCCACGGCTGTAGCCGAGAGAGGAGCGGAATTAGGGGGCGACCTTGCCTTCACCCGGCTGGAAGTCTCTTGGGCTGCTCCCGCCTGCTCCGGCTTCAATCCCTCTAGGAACCGGTTTCCCTGGTTAGGAGGTATCCCCACCCAGCTCTCCCTGGGGCGCGACTGCCCTTGGACAAAACCGGAGCAGCCACACGCGGCTTTATCGTGGGGGTGCGCAGGGTCTTAGGGCTGCACCGCAGCCTTTGGGCTTGGTTTCACTCTTTGGGCTGTCGATTAAACCTTACGTATTTTTCACACCATGTTACTTCTTCCTCCTTTTCGCTTTGGTGTTACACGAGTACCTTCTACCCGCCCGAACCCATTGGAGGTAGGCGCCAAAGGTTTTGAGGAGCGGGTTTTGCCGAGGGGGCTGGTAATTTCAGCGATCTACCTGTAGACCTGTGAGAATTGGTGTGTGTGGTCGCTATCGTCTTGCCGTGGAGGGAGAGCTGGGGACGACAGGGGCTAAATTCTAGCGGGAGCTGCTGCCTGCGTGAGTAGGAGCGGGCGAGCTAGTACCGAGCAAGGGCTAAGGTGAGCACAGCGCCGCAGCTTTTCCCACTCCTAACCTGTTATTTCGGGAGGAGGGCGGAGCTATTGCCTGGTGGCCTGAAACAGGCTTCTCCCATTGGAAAAAAGTTGAAATCCTGATCTACTTGTTGTGGGCACCTCGTTTTTAAAGGTTCCTTCTAGATATTAAGCTAGGGGGCAGTTATCCTTTTTTCTTCGTTTCTAAGCTTTGAATGGACTCACCTTATAGTTTTAACAGATTCATAAATGTTTCTAGTATGTTCTTTCATCACTTTTAGAAAAACGAATGGTCGAGGGTAAATACTGATCCAAATCCTAGGAATGGAAAAATGGAGCCAATTCTCTTGCTGATTGGGATCACATGGAGGGTGAGCTGAGGGAGTTGAAGGGGAGATGGAACCTGGAAACATCGAGTGGTGTTGAGTTTAAATGTCAGTTTTTATTTATATTTCCAGTTAAGGTCATCTACATTTTATTTGGGCTAAAACAGTGGATGCTTAGTTGCCAGACATGCAAAAGGTTTATTCACTTTTTAAACCGCATGGGAGAGCCTGAGGTGAGAAGTGAAGCTCCCCTTGACCTGGGAGGTACCCAGATGCCCTTAAAGTTCATCTTTTAGCATGTGCAATGGTAGGGCAAGCATTAAGACAGTACGTTATTATTAACATAAATATCCCTTCAAAAAAAACCATTTGCTTAGTTTTTGAGCAAGATTCTACTTACTCTATTTAGGTTTTCATTTAAAAGAAGAAAACTTGGAAACTAATAGTTTGACTGCTTTCTTTATTGGTTCCTGGATTTAGTATGCTAGAAATTTTGAATTTAAAAGTGACAAACCAATGCTCCGAATAGACTAAAGTGGTGGGGTTCATATAAGAGGTCCCATCCACAGCCTGAATTCTTCCTTTCCTTTGAAGGGAGTGATCGTTAACAGTTTCAGAATGTATTGTTTCTTTAAAAAGTGGGCTGGGAAGGAGCCAAGACTTGAGGGCGCTTTGGAGGATGATAGGCTGACCCCTGTCTTGATTGTGACACGCAGAATGCCTAAATCCATTTATCTTGCCGTATGTGCAGTCCACCTCAATTTTTAAGATGTGCTCCTTAACTGAGTTGCTTCCTGTGTCAACAGACTTCATTAAATAATTTGGGGTACCTTTTCCTTACAGTGACTGATGTCACCTGACCTTGGGAAAGGAGGCTCTGGACGCCTGGCTTTTTTCCCTTGTCATTTTAGGGGGTGAGGGACAGTGGTAGGGTCTTGCCCGATGCTACTGCTTTCCTCAAACATCCCCCCGGAAATGACTCCTGGGAATTGGCAAGTGAGGTCTCTTTGTCTGAGCAATTGGTTTAAAACATCATGGTAACTTGGAGACCTAAAAGGGAGGGAGTTGAGTTTTCAAACAAAATGATGAGATTTGTTTGCCGCCATTCTTATCTTGTATTTGGCTCATTTAAACGTAGTTTGGGTTTTTTGCTTGTTCTGTTCCTTGATAGTCAAAAAGGCCTGCAGGCGCGGTGGTGGCCGGGCCGGGTATACGGGGACCGCGCGGACTATGCCTGCGGCGGGTCCCGGGAGGGCGGGCGGAGGCAGAGCCGCTGTGGCCCTGCGCTGCAGCCCCGCCAGCCCTGAGCCCGCCTCGGCCCTGGGAACGCAGCCCGGCACGCGGCTGCTCTGCTCCCCGCCGGCACTCCCGCTCAGCTCAAGGAGGAAGGGTCTTTGCTTTTCGGAGGAGGAGTTTAGGGACTTCAGTGTGTGAGCTGCTCACGGGTTGCCATTTAATGTTTTTTGGTTTGTTTTTGGCACATGGGATGTGAGCCTTTGCCGCCTTGGAGGCCACACTGGGAGCAGAAATTCGGAGTTGTGTGTTCCATGTCTAAGAGCTGGGTGTCAAGATTCTGTGAATGGTGGGAATCGGAGCAGGGTTTAAACGTGTCTAGGTACCCAGGAAAGGCTCACATCACTAGCGGTGAGGGGCCAGCGGGGGTGACACCCTTGTCAGCTAGAGCCAAGGAAACACTGTAGCCCACCCGCTCCGAGGATGGCGATATTGTTCCCAGTTAGGCAGGCCAAGGGGCAGGATTTTTCTGAGTCCCTTGGATGGAAAAAGGGGTGCAGGTGCTGGTACAATTTATATAGTTGCTGCGTTGGGCTTTAAAATGCTTCCTGGAAAAATAAGTTCTAGAATTCCAGCTTGCTTTGACCCTGAATATTGAGCACTCCTGGGACTATCTTCTTGCAGGAAACCTAAAGTGGCCTCAGACACTGAGTAAGGCAGTTTGCTGCCTAAAATAATTAGTTGTATGAATTCCTGTCTTGTATCTCATAATGACTAAGTCACTGAATGGGGATTGAACCTGTATTCAGCATCAGTATATTTTATTCTACGTTACAAGTCTAAACTTTTCCAGCCATGTGTGTAGTCTATTTTAAAATTATATGCATGTTCTTTTGAAAATTCTAAAATCTATCCCTAAATGCTTTTTAAAAACATAATACAGATTTGTTTCTCACTTATGCTACATCATCCCAAAGTAGTTTTTTCTTTTTAAAGGAGTGAAATATTACAGATACAGCTAAAGATCCACTTTCCTACCCATTTCTTCATCCATCTTGTAGAGGTGGCCAGATGTAACTTATGTTGGTTAAATTTATGAGAAACTTTGAATTTTTACCAAAACAAGATTTTAATTGGAATGCCATTGATTCATAGGTTAATTTCAAAAGGCTTTTTTTTGGGGGGGGAGGAAAAGGGGAGAAAATGATAAGAAATGGTATTTTAGTATTTGTTACCCACCTTCCATCATTCTATACGTATTACTAGGTGAGTGTGTCCTCTCAGTGCATACATCTCACGTACTGGCCAGAAAACCAAACTGTACATACCTGGGAAGTAATTACAGAGATTGCTGCCTTGAATCGAGTTTAGCAGGTAGATGTTTATAGACTGAAGTCTGTTGAATTGAGAAAATGCTTGATAAAAAAATATGAGAAAGAAATGTTCATTATTGATATCTTAATTTCTTAGCCTTTGAATGTAATCTGTGATCTTTTAAAAAGTCGTGCTTGAGCTATTTCGGTTAAAGTGCATAGGAATAGACTTCATCAACATGGACCCTGGGAAGTGGGCCATGGCTAGTTGGGCAAGCCTGTGCTGCTGAGGTTGCCTTGAAGGCATAACCTGTCATAAACTGTACTAGTATCAGGCTGTTGTGGTATCAGCACTGTCTGGGGAAACTCTGTGACTATCTGAACTTTAAAGAAAAAAAGGTAAGGTATGCTGGTTTTGGCATTGCATAGACTTGATACTGTCCATGAGATTTTTATTTCCAATTTTAGGAATATATATTTTAGAAAACAATGAAGATATTTTGGGGAGAAAATGGGCACTTTCTTGCAGACTTCCAGTTCTTCATTTGACATTACTATACATTCTTTATCTTGACACGTTTTCAATAGTTGTACTTGGAATAGAGAAATCTTGAAAGTGTTTGATGAGTGAGTAAAATTGCCTTTTTCCACCGCAGTTCTACCTTCCATTGTAGCTACTTTATAAATACTACTTTATAGAGAGTCCTTTTCAGATTTCAGTAGGCTAAAATGTCTAGTTTCCTAAAGTACTTCTTAAAATGGATGCAATTTTTTTCTCACGTGTACAATTTTGAGC